AAAAAATTGGAAAACTGGAAAACTCCGGTTGTCAGCTACTTTATTTTCCTTCCCTTCGTTTCAACATGGGGAGACATATTATATATTATCACCTAACGTCTTTTTTTTTTTTTTTTTTTTTTTTTTTAATGCCACATTGGAAAAGTCGTTTTCCCATTCATGCCCTTAAGTTAACAAACGATGAAACGATTTCTGTTATCATCATCATCGTCGTCGTCATTTTTTTCTCATTATTATTATTATTATTATTATTTGTATTCTTTAGATTTAAAAAAAAAAAAAAAAAAAAGAATTCAAAAGCCGTCTTGACTGACGCTTATTGTTTTCTAATTTTTTTTCCCTTCTTTTATTATTATTATTATTATTATTATTATTATTATTATTATTATTATTATTATTATTATTATTATTATTTTTCAAATCGTTTCGAAAATTGCAATGTTTTTTTTTTTTTTATTAATCTCTTTAAGAAAGCTTTCTTGGTTTTTCTTTTTTTTTTTTGGGGGGGGGGCTAGAGAGAGGGAGTTGTCGACTTGCTTGGTTTTTCGGTAAAAAATATTCGTTTTATTTTTTAAATAATTTTTCCCCTCCCCTACTCCTTTCCTCCCTTCTTCCCTCTTTCCTCTCCGTCGTCTTTGTAAATTAGTTTTGAAAAGAGGTTTTAGGAAAATTTGGCGTTTTTTCTTGTTGTTTTTGTTGTTGTTTCGCTTTTCGCTTGTTTTCCCTTTAAATCGTCTAATTCAAGGTTTAAATGGTTGTTGTGTCCGTAATTTGATTTACGTTACGTTGTGAGATTAATTTTTTGTGGCATCTGACTTTAGAAAAAAAAAAAAGAAAAAGAAAAAAAAATTTAAAGGAACGGACGGACGAAAAGTAAAAGGAAAAGGAAAAGAAAAAAAAAGAAAAAGAAAAGAAAGGAAAATTCTCCAAAAGAAAAAAAAAAAACAAAAGAAATTATTTATTTATTTTGATTTTTTTTTCACTCCGCACGCGACTTTTTTACAATTGTTTTTATCATCATCATCATCATCATCATCATTATCATCATCATCGGTACTTTTAAACGCGGAAAATTTCACGTACTTGTCACAAGTTTTTTTCTTTCCGTTTTTTCTTTCTTAAGAATATGGTCGGTGTGAAATTTATAAAATCTTTCGGAAAAAAATTGAGCTGTCGGACATCATCATCATCATCATCATCATCATCATAATCATCATCATCATTAATTTTTATTTTCACTTATACGTGGAAAAGTTTTTCCTTTTCATTAAATAAATTGGGGAAAAGGGGAAAACTTTCGGGTGGTCGTAAACGTACGTGGTGGGGCGGGAGTAATGGGAAAATCGTAATCGAGGGCATTTAGAGCCTCGTAATCCGATTTTTCCAGGGTCGAAATCAAGAATTAATTTTTTTTTTTTTTTTTTTATTTCGAAAAATTTTTTAAAGTTTTGTTTTTTTTATTTTTTTTATTGCTGTTGCGGTTTGGCGAGTCAGCAGCGAAAATACGGTTGTTGTTGTTATTATTATTATTATTATTATTATTATTATTATTATTATTATTATTATTATTATTATTATTGTAATAAATATAATTCGCGATCAATCCGCGACATTGACATTTCATTCGACACAAAGTTATTAAAAAGAAACTTTTCATTTATAAAGAAATCAAAAAGTTTGTTTTTTTCCCCTCTCTCTCTCTCTCTCTCTCTCTCTCTTTCTCTCTTTCTCTTTCTGACTCTCTCTCTCTCTCTGTCTCTCTTTCTCTTTCTGACTCTCTCTCTCTCTCTCTCTCTTTCTCTTCAACAAGAAAAAAAAACAATTGATTTTTTTTATGTTTTGAATCCGGATCATAGCAATAATTAAATAAGTTGTTTTAACTTTGTGCGACTTATTTAAAAAAAGTTTTTAAAAAAAGAATCATAATATTTTTCTTTTGCCCCCGGATGATTTGACTTTTTTTTATACAAGACAACAAACTCTCAAGAAAAAACTTTTTTTCCTTCCCTCGCCCCCCGCCCCCTGCCACAAGTTTGTCGCGTTTGTTTTGCAATTTTTTTTAACCGTTAAAGTTTTTTTTTATTGTTTTGCCAAGTGAGAAACGACATTTAATTTAAAATTAATTTTTAAAAAAAAAAAAAAAAAAAAAAAAAAGAGGGAAAGATGAAATGCTAGCTTAGCGATTACGAATATCAAACGTGGAGGGGGGTTGGGGGATGAAATGATGAGTGATAATTTCCGCGATTCGGGAAATTTTTTTCTCGCCGTACTCGATTTGGAAAATTTTCTCGATTTTGGCCGACGTGAAATGACGTTTAAATTTGATTCCCGTTAAATAAAAAAAGAAAAGAAAAGAAAAGAAAAGAAAAATTTAATTTTTTAAGGAAATCGATATAAATTTATTTTCCGAGGGAAAGAAAAAAAATTGTGAGGGACGAGGAGGAGGAGGAGAAGGGATAGGAAGAGGATCATTAATTTAAGGGCCCATTACACTTATTTGATGGCGGATTAAAAAGAAAAAAGAAAAATATAAAAAATATTTTGTAATGCCTTTTTTTTTCCTTTTCCTTTTCCTTTCCTTTTTTCTCTTTCTCTCTCTCTGAACGAATTCGAGGTCGTTTTCCACCTTCCCCCCCACCCCCACCCCCTCACTCTCCGGTTCGTTCTTGACACGGTTTTGGAAATATGCCCCGAACGATCGTAAAACGTTTTCACTTTTGTTTTTATTGGGGGTTTTCGAAAAGGCGATAAGCCTTTTTCCTTTTCCCCACCCCACCCCCCGTTTTTTTTTATTTTATTTTATTTTTTATTTTTATTTTTTGCTTTTCCCCTCTCCCCTTCCTTGTCGGAAAAGTGACGCAAATTTCGGGAGAAAATTTTTGACAATCCGATTAAAAAAAATTTTTTTTTTTGTTGATTTTCTTTCGAATTCGATTTTTCATTTTTGCGGTTTCTTGATTAAAGTTTTTCTTTTATTAATGTAAAATAATAATAATGATGATGATGATGATGATGATGATGATTTTTATTTTTATGGTATCGGGGAAAAATAAACGAAATCGAACGATTATTGTATCGAGGCTCGTTTGAAATTTCGAAGATGAGATGATGGGAAAAAAAGGGGGAAAAAAAAGGAAAAAAAAAGGGAAAAAAAAGGGAAAAAAAAGAAAAAAAAAGGAGGAAAAGGATCGCATTTGGATCACGTAGTAGTTTGTGTTGATTGAAAATATTTACTTTCACGATGGCGAATTTTGTTGGAAGGATGGAAAATTTTTATTAATGTTATCCGTGTAATAAAATTTCGATTGAATTTTTATTTTATTTTATTTTATTTTATTTTTGTAATCGGAAGTGTGTTATCGATTTTTTTCTTTCTCTCTATCTCTCTCTCATTAAAATCCAGAAGAATAATAAGAAAAGAGAGAACAAATGAACAAAAACTAAGAAGGGGAGGGGGGGGTAAGGCTCTTCTTGCAATTAATTTAATTTTTCTTCTGACTCTCTAACCGTTATTTAAAAAAGAATTATGATTCCAGAGCTTTGAACTTTCAATCTTAATTAATTAAATTGCCTTTAATGTTTTTTCTTCTCCCTCTCTCTCCCCCCTTGGAAATAAATTCCAGATTAATTATCGAAATCAAATGAATGACGCGAATTTGAGGTGCCGGAAAAGGAAAAAGAAGAAGAAGAAATTAAAAAGGCAAGGTTTGAAAACATAAACCGAATCGTTAAAAAAAAAAAAAAAAAAAGACGAGAAAATTTTTTATTTTTATTTTTATTTTTTCCTTCTCTCTCTCTCTCTTTCTCGTTATATCAAGTCTGTGTCTGTGTCAAAAAATTTATGACAAGGCCGATTGCTCGTTGCGATGATGACGATGATGATGATGATGACTCATTCTGTGATATTATGAAGTCACCGTTAATTTGTCTGAGAAAAAACTGCATTGCGCCATCCATTCTTTTACTACCTTGTTGCCTACGTACCTTGTTTTAGTGACGTTACTAAATATAAATGGTCGTTGGAAAGATGGAGATGATGGTATGATGCGCGTTCATGAATTAGAAGTCGTGGGTGTAGTTGTTCATTTGAGCATTACCATTTATTTATTTTTATTTTTTAATTAAAATTATTATTAATATTATTTGTGAGATTATCTAATATCTATCCATTGTTTTTCTTTCTTCTTGAAATGAAGAAAAGTAAACGTTTCGTCGTTTTGTTTTCCCAATCGAGATACCTAATAAAAATAGTAATTTTTTTCAATGAACAATTTTAATAAATTTAATTAATCTGCTTTGAAAGAGAGATAGATGACTGCGAAGGGGAGAGAAAGAGAAAGAGATAGAAATCACATGTAGCGGTTTTACAACGCAATTTTTGTATGTTTTATACATACTCTGTCTGGAGTTAAGACGAAGAGAGTCAATGAGGATTTTTCCTGGTATATATTCTTTGCGGAGTGAGTGGGTGGTATGGATTTGAAAATGTTGAAAGAAAGAAAGAAAGAAAGAAAGAAAAATTATTTTCGCCGCGATTTAAAATTTAAGTGTAAAAACTTTCATTCTAAAGAAAAGTATAATTTCATTAAAATATTTCTCTGTAGGTAAACTTTTATCATCCTGTTGCTTTCCGTGTAACAATAAACAATACACATCTCGTGCGAATGACGAATTTACAAAACGTTTTTTGGGAACCGGAAGTTCTCAAGTTATTCATAAAGCCCATCGAATTATCAATCATTTCCGTTTTACGAAGATTAAAAAATTTGTTTTCCCGCTGGAAGAAAAACTGTTCATTTTTTCACAAAGTGACATCAACTAGATTAATTTTACTTCATTTATTTATTTATTTATTTTTTTTTTTTTTGGGGGGGGGGGTTTATTAATATTTTACGGTTCCTTTGACTATTGATTGAAACTGCAAAAAAAAGAAAAATTTTTTTTTTTTTTTATTCAGAAAACTAATTAATGTTTTTTTTTTTTATTTAAATTGTTTACAGAGGTGAAACAAGAATTAGAAGATCTAATGGCTGACATAAAAAAAACTGCCAATAAAGTCCGTGCCAAATTGAAGGTGATAGAGCAAAACATCGAGCAAGAAGAACACACGAACAGATCATCAGCCGATCTGAGGATACGAAAAACACAACACTCGACTTTGTCACGGAAGTTTGTCGAAGTTATGACGGAATATAATCGAACTCAGACGGATTATAGGGAGAGGTGTAAAGGGAGAATACAGAGGCAGTTGGAAATCAGTAAGTAGTCGATTCCATTCGGGGGAAGAAAAAAAAAAAAAATGTTTGAAATCCGTCGCGAAAAAACAACAACGATCGCTAATGAATTTTCTTTTTTCTTTTTGTTGTTACCCGAATCTGAAACTGTATATTATTTAGATGATGATGGCGGCGGTTCGTAAATTGAATGCCGAATGTTTTTGTTACCCCATAAATCGAATAAATGCGAATTTTTTAAGGGATGTCGACGGCTAGCAGAAGAATAAAACGAATTTTCAATGTTTGCCTTTAAAATATGTTTTATAAATATTTCGGTTAGTAACTCTCTCTCTCTCTCTCTCTCTCTCTTTCTCTTTTTAATCTGTAATTATTCGATAAGAAAATTAGTTTTTTTTAATTGGATAAATGAAACCCGACGCGGGGGGGGGAGGGGGCGAGCGGGCGGCCGCATCAATTCCAGAAATCAAATTAAATTACCCGATAAATTCCCCCCCCCCCCCAAAAAAAAAAAAAACAAATTAAATATACGTGCGTATGTTTATAAGACCGAATCCCGAGTTTTTTTATATTAAAAAACAGAAAAAAAAGGAAAATTGTGGAAAATTTGCGCAATTGTAGATTTTTCACTCGGAAAATGTGATGTACACGACACGGTAAACAGTTTTTTTTTTTTTTTTTAATATTTTTCCTCTTTCTCTTTTTCTTTCCCTCTCACCCTCTCTCGCGATTTTTTTTTCTCATTCTTTTTTCCATTTTCTCCCCTTCCCCCCCCCAAAAAAAAAAAAAAAGAAAAAGAAAATCTATTCTTCCATTTGTATGTGGAATCGATTGCTGAGCTTACGTATCACGTGAACTCTGAAATTTTCCACATAAAAACTTGCGTCATGTTTTTTCACGTTGTAAGAGAAAAACCGATTTTCCTTCGAAAACATTTAAAAAATTTTTTTTTCTTTTTTTTCTTTTTTTTGGGGTTTTCCGAAAAAAAATTTATTTAAATTTTCATTTAAGTTGATTACGATTTCGTTTCATTTTTTTTCTTTTTTTCTTTTTTTAATAAAAGAAAATGCATTCAATAAAGTTTTCATTTTTTTTTTTTTTTTTTTATTAAAATATTAAGTGGATGGAAAAGAAAGAAAAAGCGAGGCGGTTTTCAAAATGGAAAGAAAAGGAAAAAATGTTTTCGATTCATTTTCATTTTTTTTATTTTAAAAGATTATATAAATGGTAATTTCAAGACGCCAACGAAACAAAAACAAAAAAACAATAATAATAATAATAGTAGTAATAATGCTACGTGAATTGATGAAAAAATAATTTTTTGGATAATCTTAATAATAATAATAATAATTTTCTTTTTTTTTTTTCTTGCAGCGGGAAGAACAACGACGAATGACGAATTAGAAGATATGTTAGAACAAGGGAATCCCGCGGTTTTTACTCAAGGGGTAAGTATCATCATTATTATTATTACTATAAAGATTGAAAAATTTATTTTTAGACTTGAATATTTCGAAAACAAAAAAAGGAAAACAAAGGAAGAGGTTTACGAGAGGGGTTTCCCCGTTTTGGGACGACGACGGATCGACGAATCGTTTATTATTATTTTTTTTTTTTTTTCGTCGACGAAAAACGAGGTTTAAAAATTCTTTAAAAAAAGAGCATTTATTTATTTTTATAAAACGGTTAAAACGATTTGTTCGCGAACGGGAGGGGCGGTGAGGGGAAGGGGGCGGGGATAAAAAAAATCAATCATTAAACATAAAGGTTAGAAAGTTAAAATGGGTGTGGCACATTTTCATTTTTCCACCAACCCACCCACCCAACCTCCCTCCTCCCTCCGTTTCCCTCGGAAAATTAACGTAGAGAGCTAAAAATGAAATATGGGGAGGGGGGGGAAATAACAACGCTTTTCTTCATGTTCCACCTCTTTCTCCTGCCACGAAATAAATTTTATGGAAAAACCTTAAATGCGTCGCGTTAATGAACGTTGAAAAAATTTTCACTTGATTTTATTTTATTATAAGAGCAACAACGATTCCGCTTTTTTTTTAAATATAAATTATTCAAAAATTTTCCTTGCCTACGCATCCAAGAATATTTTTCTTTTAATTTTTGACCAGTTTTTTGATTTTCTCTCTCTCTCTCTCCCCCCCTCCCTCGCTCATTATTCAGAGCGTTTAATGAACATGGGGCACACGTATTAATATACGACCGTGAAAATTTCAGAAGAACATTAAGATGTTTTCCCCACGACGATGATGATGATGATGATTGTTGCGCGAGAAAGAAAGAAAAAGAGAAAAAATTTAATAAATAAATAAATAAAAATTCTTTTTCCGTTTCCTTTTTTTCTTTTTTTTTTTTTTGGTGGGGGGGGGAGCATTAGAGCAACAAGTGCTCCTCTAATGCTTGAAAGATAATTTATTGCATTTACTACTGATGCCCGACAAATAAAATGATAATAAATTCATTGCCAAATAATAATTTAATTTAATTTTTTTGGAAAACGTTTTCGGGGTTAAGTTATAAGAGTTTGAAAGAGAGAGAGAGAGAGAGAGAAAAAAAAGAAAAAAAAAATCTAAATTTGTTTTTTTTTTTTTTTTTGTAAAAAATTTTCCAGATAATTATGGAAACGCAGCAAGCGAAACAAACATTAGCTGACATAGAAGCGAGGCATGCGGATATTATTAAGCTAGAAAATTCTATTCGTGAGCTTCACGACATGTTTATGGATATGGCGATGTTGGTGGAAAGTCAAGTACGTGTGAAACAACAATCAAGAGTTTTCTTTTTTCCACCCCCTTTCCTCCCTTACTTTAATTTTGTTTTTCGGTCGTTTTCCACTTTTTTTTTTTTTTATAAAATAAACGAGAAAAATTGGAAACGAACCGAAAGTTTCATTAAAAACTTTTTTTAATATTCCTTTCTAATTACTGTCATTCATTCCTTTGACACATTGCGTATATATTATTAACGATGACGTCATAATTAACCTTTTTTTCTTTTTCCTTTTAGGGAGAAATGATAGATCGTATAGAATATCATGTAGAACACGCGGTAGATTACGTACAGACGGCTACTCAGGATACCAAAAAAGCGTTGAAGTATCAAAGTAAAGCTCGCCGTGTAAGTTTTCATTTAAATTTTTCTTTCTTTTCTTTTTTTTTTTTTTTATTAATTTTCCCTCGGTCGTGTACACGCAATACGCACGTGTATACGTGTATACGTAAATACGAATATACACGTGTATACACGTGGAAACGAAGAAATTTATTCGTTTTTTTTTTAATGAGAGAAAAACAAAATTGAAATTTAAAATTTGTTGGCATTCTGTCATATGACAAAAAAAATAAATAATAATAATAATAATAATAATAATATTAATTACTTACAATATATAATATATAACTTATTATTATTATTGTTATTATTATTATTATAAATGTGGTTTGTTATTTTTATTGTTATTATTGTAAATGAAGATGTAACGCTTTCCCCTCCCCCTTTCCCCCTCCCCCGAGTGGTGATCTATTGCTGTTGTCTTTTTTTTTTTCTCTTATCTTTCTGTATATAATATTATTATTATGTGTATTGATTTTTAAATACTGGAAAAAATTTGTGGTTGTTTTTTTTTTTTTTTTTCTTATTAATTTGTTTAGTATTTTTTTAATACTTATCTTTTACTATCTTTATATATTATATAATTATGTATTTGTTGATGGGATCCGAGACCGCGCACACAGACACACAGACACCTATTTTGGACAGTTTTCCCGTGGCGAAGAAAGAAAAAAAGAAAGAAAGAAAGAAAGAAACGTAATTAAATAACGAATTGTTTTTTTTCGACTCGAACTCGTCGCGTTTTCGTAAGGTGTAGAGAAAAACGTAAAAAAAAAAAAAAAGATAAAAATTATCTATTTTTTTTTATTTTATTTTTCTATTTTTTATTTATTTTTATTATTATTATTTTTTTTTTTTTTCTTTTTCTTTTTCCACGTCATTTCATTTCAAACCATTGTCTTGCACTTTACGCATACAAAACATGTACGTGTTTGTGGCATGATTATCATTTTTGTTTTGTTTCCCCCCCCCCCCCCGTTATCTACTTTCATTATTATACTTTCATTGTTTTATACACACCTGGTAGTAGTGGTCGTGCGATGCTGCCACGACCATTTTCCGCTCATTCGAATCGTTTATATTAATTAATTATTTATGTTTTCATTATTATTGTTTGTTTTGCGCGCTTGGAAAAATTTTTAATTTTCTTTTTGTTTTTTTTTTTTTTTTATCATTGTTATTATTATTATTAGTATAGTCATCATCATCGTTAAGGTTGTTATTATTATTAATTTGTTATTATTGAATGTTTTAATTGATTGATTTATTTATTGAGTAAAGGGAAAATCGTTATTGGTTCTAGAAATTTGCTTGCTTTTTTTTTTTTTTTGTAGCTTTAAGGGTGCATGAGGGGTTAATTAAAATTAGGTTTTAATAATATCATAACTCCGTCGTTTGTTTGTTTGTTTGTTTGTTTTATTTTATTTTATTCACTCGAAACGGCAGTAATTAATAATTTAATAATTTTTAGGTTATTTACTTAGGTACGATGATTGCATAAATCGCATTATTATCATTCACAATTGTTTTATTATTATTATTATTATTATTATTATTATTATTATTATTATTATTATTATTATTATTATTATTAAGATCATCATCAAATGTCACGTATTTATTTTTTTTTTTTTGCGTCACGCATTTTCATTGAATTTTTATTTATTAATTTTTCTATTTTATTTATTTATTTTGTTTTTATTTTTTGTTATCCTTTTTTTTTTTTTCGTTTGTTTTTTGTTCACAGAAAAAAATCTTCATCATTATCTGCCTGGCAATAACACTCGTGATACTGATAATTGTTTTATCCACGACTTTACTCTGAACTGAAATGAAAGGACGGATATATGATGTCGGTGTCGAGTGCTGATGTTCAACCTTGACTGTACGTATTATTCCCGTAATAATAATAATAATAATAATTATAATTATAATATTAAAAGTCATGCGGGACCATGACGATTTTATTTTTTTTTACGATTTTACGTTACCCCCTTTATCGTGTCCTCACCAACGTAAGCCGAGGTAAAAAGAAAAAATGTCTTCGGGTTCAGGTTTTTTTTTTTTTTTTCTCCTCCACGGATGTGCAAGTATTATTACGGAAAACGTATTATCGGAATGGGATGGAACAGGAATTTTTTTTTGCTTTTCCTCCACCCCCAACACCCCTTCCCCTCCCGTCCCCAACCCCCTGCCACCCACGATCCCCCCTTTTCACCCTTTGAAGTCAACCAGAAAGTTTTATTTTGCGAGTTGACTCAACCTTGATCGCGAAACCATTATTATTATTATTATTTTTTCGAACGATTGATGCTAACGCGCGGTATTATAGTATTATTATTATTATTGTTATCATTACTTAACAAATTGTGCGACGAGTGTGCGTTTACTTTTAGCAAAAAAAAAAAAAAAAAAAAAAACCTTAGAGGTAATACCGGAAAGGTACGATCTCAAATCGGACCATACCTGATCGAGCCTGAGTCGAAGAAAATTTTTTTGTAACAAATCATTCCGTGAAAAAAAAAAAAAAAAAAAAAAAAAAATTTTTTTTTTTTGGAATGTTGTCATATTTTGTTAATAACGAATTTATAAATTATTATCATTATTATTATTAGTTTTTTTTTTATTATTATTATTATTATTACGATATAGGGTTTTAAAAAGAAGGAGAAAAAAAAAGATTTTGCAGATATTAATATTTTCAAAAATTGTTAACAAATTTATTTATTTATTTATTTATTTATTATTATTATTATTTTTTTTTTTTTAACGCTTATTTATTACTTTTTTTTTTTCTTTATCTTTCTCCACCACGAAGCAGAAGAACAAAAATGGAGCCCCCTTGGAAGTGATTTTATTAACTTTTATTTATATATGTCTGTGTAGGTTGTAAAAAAAAAAAAAAAAAATTTTTTTTTTGCAGAGAATTTTATTTGGATTTTATAAAGAAAAAAATAATAATAATAGGAGGTTTGAGAGGGAGGAGAGAGAGAGAGAGGGGGAAAGAATAAAACGTTATTTGATTTTTCCTTTTATTTTTTTCTATTTTTTTTTTATTTATTTATTTCGATTTTCAAAATTAATTTGTCAAATGTGATTTAATCGGGGGGTGGGGTTAGGGGTGGGGGACGGGAGGGGACAGTAAAGAAAACGGATTTTGACATTTACGAAATGGACAATGTCGAGGAGGATTTGATGATTTTCGTACGAGTCGTTTGTAATGTTTTTTTTTTTTTTTTTTTTTTTTTTTTTTTTTTTAATTTTTTCCAATCCCCTCAGGCAGCTCCCCACAATCGAGAGGAGGGAGACGCCGTTATTTCATAGCACGTACGTGGTGAGATTTTTTTTTTTTTGTTGGTGAGACGGTTTCCGCATTATCAGGTGTTATTAGGTGATAAACACCGCAAAGAGGAGGTTTAGTTCATGATGGTGCACACACACACACACACACACGAGTGAGATGAAAGGATTTAATAATATTAATTTCAGGAATGTTTTTTTTGCTCCCCCCCCCCTAAAGACCGAAGTGTGACGTAGTAGAAATTCGTAAGAGGTTCGGTGGTGAGGAGAGGAAAAAATTTATAACTTTCATCTAAAGCCAGGTCACGATATTAATAAATAGGAGGTCACCACAGAAAAGGATAACGCGATCGTCCTCAGGCGAAATCCTTTCGTCGTCGCAGGAATAAAATAACCGCGAAGTAATATTAACCGACGGATATTTTTCACGCTCGGAAAAACTCTCCTCGTCTCCTTCATCATGCGCTCTTTATTTTCACTCAATTTTCCAATTTTCCCCTCCTCTCTCTCTCTCTCTCCCCCCCCACTATTAAATCACTTCATTTCACTTTGGGTTTTTTAATAATTTAAATTAATTGGGTTTTCGATCGTGTGTGCGCGTGTGCGTTCGTGTGCTTGCTTTTCTTACGTTTAAAAATTTAACCGTTTTTTTTTTTTTTTAATTCTAATACTTTTGACGGGAATTTTATTCGCAAAAGGTCACAGGTGATGATGATGATGATGATGATGACGTAATGAACGAAAATGACGCACGGATATTTTTGAACGTGACACCTTTTTGTAAAAATGTATAATACGACGGACGTTTTTTATACTTGATGTCTTATTTGTCAATGATGGTGACACGGATGTTATCGGAAAAGTTAGGAGGGGAGGAGGGGAAGGGAGGAAGGAAAACAAAGCAGAAAAAAAAAGTTTTTTTTTTATACGAACGTTCGTTCGTAACGTTATCATTCGAAACGTTTCGTTCCCGAAACTTTTTAAGTAGGGATTTTAAGGGAAACTTTGAAGGGACAGGAATGAATAAAAAACAAAAATCACTTCCGGTTGCTCCATTTTTCCATTTTTTTTCGTGCTTAAATCAACGATGGCCGTTTTTCATTTTTTTTTTTTTTTTTTCTAACTTGCCGAAATAAATCAAAAAAAGCTTTTGTAAATTTAAATTTAAAAAAAAAAAAAACCAATAATAATAATTGATTGATTGTTTTTAATTGTAAATAAAATTAGAATTTAAAAAAAAAATTTATTTTTTATCGATAAGTTATTATTATTATTATTATTATTATTATTATTATTATTATTATTATTATTATTAATATTGTAAAAATGTAACATCATTATTTGTTTTTATTTAATATTTTTTTTTCTTTTTTTTTTAAATAAATTTTCTTAATTCGATCACCGTCATGTTTTTTTTTTTTTTTTTAACTGTTTTTTGTTTAATATTAATAATAATGATAATTATTATTATTATTATTACTATAATTTATTTATTTAAGAAAAAATCATTGGTTTTGTGGTTTTTTTTTTTTTTTTGTTTTCTAATTGTACGTTCGTTTTGGGAATTTTTTTTTTTTTACGATTGTAAAAATTTTAAGGGTTTAAAATTTAAATAAGGGTAGTTTATTTGTTAAACTCATATAATTTATTTATTAAAAAAATTACAACAAAATGGAGAATTGTTGACTTGATTGTTGTTATTGTCAATTTTTTTTTTTTTTAAATTAAAAATTATTTGTTTAAATAATTAAAAAAAAAATGTCGTAGCAAGAGGATTGTTTAAAAAAAAAAAATTATGTACGGTTTTATTTTATTTATGTATACATAAATCGCGATTATTTTGAAGGGTATAAATAAAACTAACTTATGTATTCGTTCGGTACGAACGGAAAAGTGATTGATTGATTGATTGATTGATTGA